GAGAGGAGGAGGAGGAGGAGGAGGAGGAGGAGGAGCACGAGAAATGAGAGGTAGCTGCAGTAGAGACGACTACGATACCAAGGGTGTTAGGAGCGTTCATATGCCGCGTAAGAGCATGACGGATGGAGAGGGCGAAGAAGAGAGCGAGAGGATTGAATTTCAGTGATGAAAGAGAGGAGAGAGCGGATAGAAGACTCAGGGAGGTGGAAGGAGTGGGAGTGGGAGGAGCGGGAGGAGCGGGAGGAGAGAGGAGAGAGGAGAGAGGAGAGAGGAGAGAGGAGAGAGCAGCATGAACAGGAAAGAAGGGAGAAGTAGAGTGGAGGGATGAGTACCGCTGGACTCACTCTTCATCCGCAGGCACTTTTCTAGCAATGAATCTCTCCCGGAGGAGAAGGAAGAGTGTCAGACACGCGTCTGCCATCTCGAGAGGGAGAGGAAGAGGAAGAGAGGGAGCGCAGAGATGAGGAGAGGATGCGGTGTTTTTCCTCATGGAGTTGACAAGGTTGTGCCATGGCGGTGCCCTGCTGTTCTGCGGCCCCAACCACAACTTGATATGGAGGACACAGCCATGCTCCCTGCCTGCCTGCCTACAAGTTGACAAGAAGCGCCGCCTGCTCCCCCTTCCTCTCCTCTCCTCCCTCCCCGATGACTCCGCACCCCGGACGACCAGCGAGCAGCCGCAGGGGACGACGACGGGGATGCGAAGCTACGTGGGGGAAGGGCCGAAGGCAACGCGAGGGTGGACGGGAGAAACAGCCAAGGCGCTAGTGGAGGCGATGAGGAGGTGGGACTGGTTGTCAGGGTGGCTACAGGACGAGCTACAGGACATAGAGGCGTCCATGGGGTACGACATACCGGGAGGAAGACAGATCGTGGAGTATGACCCGCACTTCCTGTCGAAGCTGGGATGGCTGATTAATCTGAGAGGAAGCATCTTCAACATTCGATTCATTCATGTACAGTTCCTCCTCCTCCTCCTCCTCGCCGTCCTCTACGCGTTCGCTGCCGACCACTACAGCGTCATGGTGGACTTCGTGGCGTCGGACCTGTCCTCTTTCAGCCGGTCGCAGTGGCTGTCCCTTCCTATCATCACGCCGCAGACAGCCGCTCTCTCCTTCGTCAGCGGCGTCCTTGGCTTCTTCCTCTCGCTCTTCAATTCTCTTGGGCTTGCGCTGTGGTGGAAGGTGAGAGAGGAAGAGGAGGAGGGGAGAGGGGGGAGGAGGGAGGGAGGGGGGGGGAGGGAGGGAGGAGGAGGAGGA